TGTCTTTCAGCTACCAAAGTAATGTGAAATAGTAGCCTGCAGCTGTGTAAGCAAATTGACCATCATTATAGGAATCCATGCATGGGTCAGTGATGATCTGTGGAGTAGTATCTGGCCTGTTTTGTGCAGGCAGTCTGCTTGGTGCTGAACTGGATGGGAACTTGCATATAGCTGTGAGATGGTTCAGCTATGGAAAAAGACGATGGAGCTGAAGAAACTTACTGTACTGACAACATTAATATCATCTAGCCTTGGTAATGGCTAGAGATCTCCAAAGATGGGAATTTCTGAGACCTCTCCTTCCTTTAGTATTCTGCTGTTACCTCCTGTCCAAGTTGCTGAACCCAGCTGGTGATGGTCAGAAATGCCCTGCAGCTTTTCCAGTTGTTGGAATAGGTGGTGATGTGGTAAGTGTGATTAATACGGAGAAATTAATTCTGGATTAGGTTGTAAGCTGCAGTGAAGGAGAATGGGGACACAGCAGAGAAAACTCATACCTTAGGCCAAGAGACTAAGCAGTGTGGTAGCAGGTGAAATTCATGCGAGGAGTACAAGCTGCTGCGTTGGCTTATTGGTCATCCAGTACTCCAAGCTCCTGACTAAACTCCTCATAGAAAAAGTTGTAGGAAGCATTCATTGCTCCACCTCCCTGACAAGAGAGGCATGATCTCCCAAACATGGGCGTATTGCTGCAGGGAGGTTTGATCAACACAGGGAAAAAAGATAATGTCTTAATATTGATGATAAACTCCTCTGCTGGTCTTGAGAGCAAATGGTTCCATTGAATAAGGAATGCCCTCACCTACTGGCATTATTATGGCAGCTATTGCAGGCTGCAGCCCAACCTGGCTAACAAAACCTGCTCAAGAGGAGGGGTGAGGACATGGGTGGTGGGTGAGCCTATTCTCTGTGCAGTGCCACACCATTTACATAATCCAGTCTGGCTTGTTTAAAACCAGGTCTGTAGGAGCAGCCATCACAGCAGTTACTGGGGCTCAAGGAAAGATCCAAGGATTTTTAGCAGGCAGAGTCATTTTCTTTCTGCACCTCTCTGAACTCACCAGAGCCTGAATACAACTCAGAAGAAATGCCAGACTGGGGAATGTGCTGCACCAGGTTTGTGTGCTACAGAGTTGTTAACAGGGCCTTAGAGATCTCGGAATAAGGCTCTTGGTTTGAATGCATTTCCTTGACTATCAGACACAGCATCTCTGGTTCCCAGAGACCACTCTACTCAGCTCAGTGCTAAAAGTGCTTTTTAACACCAAAGCTGCTGTGTTCCCACGCCTGTTGCTGTCATGAGGGAGGCCAGTCTTAAACAATAGCAGAGGAATAAAGAATAGCCTCACTAATCGATATCCTGCCTAGACGCTGAGTCAGGTGGCAGCTTGTGCCTCTTGAAAATTCCTGCATTGTTCCTCATTTTTCATTTGACTGGGGGTAAATTTTTATCTTTAAGGAAAGAAAACACATGGTACCAACTGCCTCTGCCAGTTATATTCTCCACTGGTCCCTTCTCACCCACCCGCACTAAGTTGTGGTGTCTTTGTCCTGTGGTAGCCTCCAGCAGTGAGGGACATAGATAGGATGTGCTAGTTTGGACTTTGAGCTGAGTGAGATGTGCTGTGGTTGGGACATGGTGGCAGTGGTCTTAGGGCTCCTTAAGTCACATACATCTGCAAGGCTTTGGAGAACAAAATTTTTCACACCTCCATCTTCGTAGGTGTGAATTTATGTTCATATTTAAGTGATTAGTATTAAAATGGTCAGAAGGCAAGGATGCAGGCACAGGTTCCCAGAAAATTTCTCCATATATGAGTGTTTGAAGCCTGGCAGGATGCTAGGACAGCCTGTGTGCGAACAGACATTTGGAAAATTGACAACAGCGATATTTGCTTAAACAAACTGCAAGATCCTACAGCAAGATCCACCTCAGCTGCACTAAAAACATTTTCCAGGCCAGGGTGGCTTTCCATACTATCTGAATGTCAGAGGGTCTGTGTGGACATTTCATTCAGCTCCTGTCATCCTTGAGCAACACGCCAGGGCTCCCCTCACCAGCTGGTACCAAGAGGAGGCTGTGCCTCTGCTCATTCCCCTAGCCATGAGACCTGCATCAAAGGATGCAGAAGAGAAAGGTCAGAGATGGCTCAGGGGTTTCATCAAGGCTGGGGGTCCCTAGGAAATCTTTGTAGCTCTTTGGCACTGGTTGCCTTCTGCTAGAAGGCCTCAGCGGGGTGGGGAGGGAACCTTGCTGTGCTGCCAGGCAGGAACTCTTGGAGCTGGAAAGGGAACTGGTAAGGGTAACATTTGTGCAGATGTGAGATAAGAGCTGACCCCAAACTGAACTCCCTCAGGCTCAAACAAGGTAAGGAGTCTGCTTGTGAAAATGCTGGGGGGAAGCCTGCCAGACCAGCAAACTTGCTGCTCTCACCTAGGGCTGAGAGCAGAGACTGAACAACCATCCATGAGGTCCATGAGGAGCTTGCTAGCTGAGACACCTGGGGACTGGTGGCACAGAGGAATCAGGAGCTGAGGATGGCCTTGCCCCAGGCTTTGTCCTGAGGGGTGGAGGTGGAGGGAGAAATAGAAATTACAGACAATGATGAAATAATTTCTGATTAAGTAAATAAAGTAGAAATACCATCTACTAGATACTTGAGCAGGGCCTTAATCACATAGCCTGTGACTATTGCTTTCAGATATCCCTACAGGAATATACATTACAGATACTGTTGCAGCCTCTTCCGCCTGTGCAAATATGAAGAGGGCAGATCCACAGCTAAGTGGCCTTAGATGGTCTTACTGTACTGGCAGTCTGTTTCTTCTGGGAAAGAAACATCTCCCTTTAACAGTATTCCTGTGTCTCTTGGGAGCCTCAGATCTGTTTTGCGCAGCACAGGAAGCAGTGCCTGCCAACGAAAGCAAGGTATGGCATGGTGAGAGTTGGCCTGGCCCTGAGATCGTGCTCTCAGCATTAAACCCTACGTGATTGCTCTTCCAGGAGCGAGGATGAGGCTCTGTCTGTGCTGCCTACCACTTGCAAGATGCATTGGTGGGATATGGAATCTGAACGAGTAGAGAAGGACTCTTCTTGCCCCTGGTATCTTTATGAAGACTAGGAAACAGAAGGTATGGGTATCTCAGAAGGTGTTTTCCAGTGGGCGTATACCAGGAAGCAGCATCTTTCTCTTCTTTCTTTATGGAGAGAGTCTAAATTTGGGGTACCAGAAAAATAGCAAGAAACAGCTTGCCTGGTTAAATTGCTGGTGCATCACAACCTTGCACAGGCAGGGCCTCTCTGGAGGTGAACTTGGAATTTCTTTCAAACCCAGGCTTCTTTGCTGAGGCTGCTGGCAAGGACTTCATTGGCACCAGCTGGGAAAGGGAATAGTTGTGGCAACCACACCTGCCCCATGGGAATATAATGGAGTCCTTTAGCTATTGCAATGGCTGCCTGTTAGCGGTGCTCTGATTAGTTGGTAGCTCTCCAAAGCAGCATTGCCTGGGCTACTGAGCCTCAGCCGTGGTAGCTCAGGGAGTGGGAGCATCCTTGGTACATGTATGGATCCTTGTTATGGAGGTTGTGGAAGAGATTCCTGAGTTTCAGGTTGTTTTGAAACACTCTGATAAGTGTGGTAACTTAGGCTATCTCTGCTGTTACTATGTGGAGTTAATAGTCACCATGAGGGATGGAGTGAGGGTGTTTTGGCTCTAACAGCATGTATTGCCCTGTGATGTGGTTAAGCCTACAGCTTGCTGACTGCTTTTGTGGTTCCAGCTTAGGGACTGTGGTTGAACAAAAGAAATACATTTCTTACGAGCTTCTTCACCTGCCCTTGAAAACTTGGTGGAAAAAGAAATGTTAGACACAGCAGGTTTCCCAAGCCCTGGGGCTTGCCTGTGCAGGGGGCTAATCTCTGTGGGGTGTATGACAACCATGCTGCTGGGGGCTCTACCCTGCTCTAGGGAGGATGTGTGAATCTTGCCTGGGAAGGCAGTAACTTCAGAGAGCAGATCTTTCTGGGAGGGAGTGGTATGGAGGAACAGAAGCAACCAGCCTGCCCCTCCATCAGCATGGTTGAGCAGTGAAAAATCTCTTTAATGCTTCCTATGGATAACCCGTAGTGCTTTAATAAGAGAAGATTTGTCCCCTGTAGGCCTGATGCTGTGACAGCTTCCAGTGGAGATGAGCTGGCTGGCTAGACGGGAGGCTGCCTACAGGAAAGAGGGTGAAAGGTGCTGCCTGCCAAAGTAGCGGTTGGTGAGAAGGCGACTGTGCTGCACAGCGTCAGCGCACACATGATGGGTGGAGAAGCGTGAGCCCGGCTTCAATCCTTGTCAATGGCACCTCGTTGACTTTTAACGCTTCCTTATCGTGTCTGCGCTCACCTCCTAGCAGCGCTGATAAAATGCCATCGCTGGTGTAATCTCCTGAGCAGCTCTGCAGAAAGGGTTGCAGAGCATGGGAAGCTGGATCGCCTGCAGCCAGCAACCGGCATGGGATTCCGGTCCAGAGCAAGGTAACAAAGGAAGGGCCCTAACCTGAGGCAAAGGGAGGGCAGAGTAATCTCCTAGTCCTGTGGAGTACCAGGTGTGCTGTTATGACTGGCACAGCAGAACGTAAATGCTGTGTTAGAGCAGGGGTTTGCAGAAGCTGGGATAGCTGTTACTTTTCTATTCCTAGTGGAGCTGGAAATGTAAGCCACCTGAAGTGATTGCAGTATGTTAGTACCCAGAGCTATAAACAATAGAGTTAGGATAATGGGAAGGAATGTACAGGGGTTTTGTTGTCTTTCCTTTTTTCCAGGACTAGCTTATTTCTCTCTCTTGGGGTATTAAACACCTAAGTAGTTCTTGTGCAAATCTTAATTATCACTAAAAAAAGAGTATTAGTTTTCAACATGTAACTGCTACCTGCAGGCCCACAGCAATCTTTAAAGCTATATCTAATTATTATTATTTTGTTTTTTTTACAGGCAAGCAACCTGCAGTGATACCTTTGGGAAGGTCCTCTTTATGGCTGTGAACTGAGGACCCCTGAATATAAACCAGTAAGAAACTACTGAGTAGGTATGTTATTTTTAGAACCTGTAACTGGTGCCAAACTGGTGTACAGTATCCTGCCACTACAGGAGAACAACAAAACTTGCCAGGGAACTGTGTGGAAGGAACAACTTTCCTTCTGAGTGAGAAATCTGGATGTTTAGGAATGCTTTTTTTTGTTTGTTTCATTCTGGATCCCACACTGGGTGTCTTTTTTCCTGAGCTGGAGGAAACTCCTGATGCAAAAATTCCTTGCTGGAGAAAAACTTCTGAAGACTTTATCAAAAGAACTTGGGACCAAAGTCCTTCACTTTTTTCATGGCTGAATTTTTGATTTGAGCTTCACTGGTTCAAGCATTTCAAATGATGAAAGGTGAAACAAGGGACTTCTCCAGCGGGAGGAATTGTCATTAACAACAGAAGCTTCCAGTGAAATCTATGAACTGTTTCACTTTGACTTGCTGTTTTATTTTCCCATCTACTTAGAAAATAGGCTTATGCAGTTCTGGGTGTATTGTTTTCTTCTTGGGCTACAGCTTTACTCAATACTATGTTATTCATTGAATGTTATTATCCTGTATCCCTCATGAAGCACTAGTCTTGTAATCATTCCCGTAATCACTTCCACATGCTGCAAACTTGCTGAATGGAACAAACTCCTTCCTCATTCCCTGTATTCACATTGTCTTTGCCAAATTCTTCCTCTTTAGTACTTGCTTGGATACCTTGAAGTTTATTTTCAGTATCAGAATACCAAAGTTGTTCTCATAAGAATATTTAGTGTTGTCCCAGCCACCTTTAGCAGTCTCTTACTTTTCACACCCCTAGCTTTGATATTTCTTGTGCTTTTGAACTGTTCTGCCCCTCTGCTTTCATCTTTTGTTTCTGTCCAACATCTTGTACTAACGTCTCTTTATTCCAGCATCTCCCCATTTCTCCAGTCTTCTATCATCCCCTACCAACATCTGGGATTTGATGTGTGGGAAACCCAGGCCTTTTCCCAAGGCCATCTCTCTTCATCACCCCAGCACTTCCGCTATTCTTCCTGACAGTGACATCCCGATTACTGCACATTTTACTGCATCCAAGCTCTGTCTTGCATATGGGCCTGTCAAATCTCACCATTTTTTCCTCTAAACCCTGACTTTTTTCCTATGCTGCCTAAGTGAAAAGCTCAGTTGTCCTCAGTTACGGCAGTGTCGCTTGCAGTCCCCTGCCTCCCGAGTCCTGCTCCATTACACTTGTCATTCTTCAGCTTCATATCTTCTGTGGCTTCTCTGTCAGGTTTCAGCCACCCCATGTGCACTCTCTATGTCCTCATTTCATGGCTGTCTGCTATCCCCTCATGCTTGCCATCCTCCTGAGTGGTGTTTAACCACTTATTGTACTTCCTGACTCTTTCTGCATCTCCTTGCTCACTATTATGCTTCTTTCAAAGCCTTAAAAATGTCTTTTCCTGCATTTTTTAACATATTTTTTCCCTCTCTTGGCCCTGTTAGGCAGGATCAGGAGCACAAAACCTTGGAGACAGTAAACACCTAATTCCGCTTGAAATGAATATTGGTTATCTGCCCACCTAGGAGTTAGGCAGCTGAATACTGTTTAGGTATTTCTATACCAGTGTGCATCCACTGATTGCTCTTGAGACCAGTACTTATATTGCCTACACTGCTAATGCCACCTCACTCTGGAGGTCTGTGGTGTCTGTCAGTAATGTCCCTGAAGCCTGCATTTGGCAACAGCCTGAGGAACTTGGTATCTAGTTCTTGCTTCAGTCCACTGGGATCCATAAGCAAGCTGTCCCTCTGCCTATCTCTCTGTCAGGGCCTGATCTCATACAGGTTTTCAGAGAAGGCATTCCAGATCAACTGGTGCATAATGCAGGGCTGTTGTGATAAGTATCTAAGACCAGGAACTGAATGATCAGATTCACCTTCCTTCTTTTCTTGTAGGATGGGAAACGCAACCTAGACCCTCACCTCTGAAATCGACTGTTTGTAGAGATGGAGGCAGCTATGATGTTGAAGCTTGCTCAGTCTGTCAGTGGAGCTTATGAAAGGAAGTGTATGTAATTTTAGGGTAAGCTGTCATGGTGGTAAAAAGTGGGGCTGTGTTTCCTTTATGTCTTTCTGGTAATCTCCCCATGTAAGACCAAGACCTAACATTCACACTTTATCTAGCAGGAGGTCAAAGGGATAAAGCATTAAACTTGATTTCTTTCTTTCTTGTTTTTTGCCCCCATTCTAGTACAATATCCTAATTAGTCACCACTGGGCCATGTCACCACCAGCCTGGCCTGCTATAGTTGTTTTTTCTGGAGTGCTTGTTGATAAAACCCCCTGCATTGAGTACTTACACCATGAAAGATAGGAAGGTGGTGAGATCCATTTTGAGATGGATACCCCTGCTACACACAGCTGTGAGATACCCGTGTGCTCCTGAAGTCATGGCCTCTGTCAGTGTTTTCCCAAAGGCATCTGATGTGGTGTTCCCTTGAGAGTGCTGGTATTTGCTGGTGCTCTTCTAAGGTACTCAGCACCAGCCCCCTCCACTATTTGTGCAGTGTGCAGCAATGAGGGGATGTGAGCTACTAGCTGAGCTGCTCCTGCAGTCAGCACTAACCAGCTCACATTTGCTGCAGATCTGGTGTAACAGTTCATTGTGCCAGCAAAATAGAAAGGAGGAAAGAAAAAGGGAATAGAGAAAATAAAAAGCAAAGCATAGAGATAATGAAAGTGGGGGAGTACTTCTGATATTGTAACTGTACCAGACTTAGGTTTCTCTAGCTCCATCTGGGCTTTGTTAAAAATGAGGCTAGTTAGCAGCTGCAGATATGAATGTAAGAACTGACAGGGGAATGAGAGAAGCTATGAGAAAGCCATGAATTACGTAGGTTCTCTTAGAGATCTTTTGTGGAGGGCTTAGAAGTAGCAGTTTTCAAATTGTGGCCTACTGGTTGCTCGTATCAAGTGATTGGGATGCTGTGGAAGGTGGGAGGAGGGTGCAGCAAGCAAGATGCAAGATATGTCTTCAATCAGGAAAGGGGGAGAACTTGGAGAATGGTTTACTGGAACTGCTGAAGGATGATGGTATAGCTCGAAGAAAGATGTAGCTTAGGAGTAGATGCTAATTTTGTGTAAAGGGGGATGGGGATTCATGTAGCTAAGAATAAATGAGTTTATGGAAAGGATACTGGTGGTTATTTGGTAACCAGGAGCTTAAGTGATCAAAGAGGTTTAGTAAGCCCTTCTGACTTTGCCTTGCCCTTCCAAAAATATATCATGGCTATGTGGAAGGTCACCTCCCACCCATTCTTAGACGTAAAGTGCCCACTTTGGTATAGGTGGCCTATCAGATTGCATAGGCTGGGTAAACATTGGGATATATGATAGTACATTTGCTGAGCTGCAGGATATAAAGGTAAGGTTGATAACTGGAATGCCAAGATATTTGTGAGGGGAGGCAGGATTCTTGGTCTCCTCAGCTGCTTGCCCTCAAAATGGAAGAAGAAAGAATTTGAAAGTCCAGAAGTCTTTGTAGGCTCCAGGCTATAAACAGGCTCTTCCTGTATGAAGCAGTAAGGATCTAACAGTAATCAGGAGATGTCTGCTTTTCCATACAGGCCTAATGCTACTGGTATATACTCTTGTGAGGGGGGTGAAGCCCATCAGTCAGGGGTGACAGGAGTGCCCAGTGCTACTGATGTGGATCATCCAGGAAGATTGTATTGAAGACAGAGTTATGGGGTAAAGAAGAAATGAAAGTGCAGTCAACCTGAAGCAGGGGAAGACAGAAAGGTGAAGGAATCAAAAACCAAAAGAAAGATGGAAAGAAGAAAATAATTAGGAAAAGGTTAGCGTAAGTATTGGCAGCATGTTGTACAGCAGAGAAGTGTCCTTACCATTGAATACGCTTCATAAATACTGTATTTATTTTTCAGCTAGCTAGGCTGAGGGCCTCTGTGGGGTCAAGTATGCAAATGATGGGTCCCCAAGTCCTGCTGCTCCTCCAAATTCCATGAAAGTAGAATTTATCCCCTAGATAACTATTCTGAATTTATCCGGGAGCTGTGCCTCTAGCAGGGTCTGGATCCTCTGTATCAGATCTCTGTGTAAGTCTGTATTCCCAAAAGTAATGTGAAGGAAAATATGACCACAGGAATGTATTTGCTATTTTACTTTATGGATCACCAGGCAAGTGTCATATGCAATACTTGTGGATGCTCTGTTTATTCCCTTCTCTCTTGCTAGCTTAAATGCAATGGTCCTGCAGCTTGGGTCTCTGAAGAAGAGGCTCTTTGCGTTACATATCGTCACCATCAGCCACAGCTATACCTTGGGGTGTAGAGTATGCAAATGTTGCTGTTTGGAAGTGTTTGTAAGACACTGCTCTGTGTTTCCTGGTCCTAGTCAAGAGACTAAAGTGATGGTTACTGGAAGTTTAATATCCAGTAGCGTGTTGCAAGGGCTGGTGTTTCCTGACAGCAATGACTACTATTTCGCTCTATAAGCACATCTCTGCTTCCAGTCAGAAACACCAAACCTGAGCAGGCTGGAGTGTTCTAGCTTCCTCTCTGGTGTGTGTCTGACGTGGATGGGCAAACTGCTTGGATGATGCAGGAAACCTAAGTGTTCCTCATGGCTAAAGTGAAATTTTCTAGGAAGTAGGTTGTTCTCACATCAGTCAGCTATGACAGTGGGGGAAAGTGCCTCTCCAGGAAGGATCTGTGTCACTCAGACCTTTCGTTTACACTGAGCAAAGCCACTGGATTTCATACCTTCTCCTACAGTGACCCTACAATAAAACAGGAAAGATCAGACACTGTAGAAAAAGACAGTTGGGACTCTGTCCCTCATGGGGAAGCTGTACAGTAAGATATGAGACCCTTGAGCCCTTCTCCTCCCTGGGATGGAATAATCCACCTTTTTTCATCATGAATCTTAATAGCCAAGGATGTCGCCTCAACTCATTCATTAGCTAGCCAGTGTCCCTATGATTAGGGGTTAAGTAGTTAATCTTCAAAAATC